TTTTAAATTTATAATATTAAATATATAAATTTACTTAATAATACATAAAAATTATACAAAAATATTATATTATCCTATAAACACTGTCTATGAGTTAATGCACTGGGTTCCACCCCTGCCAGATATTTAAAATTTTGGCAGCCATTCAGTGAGCGGAAGTTACCATTGCTCAAATGGACAGAGTACGTCCCGTCATAAACACTCTCTGCGTTATCTTCGTCCAATTTTTCTCCCCTCTTATCTTGCCGTCCACGTGGCAAAAATGTCAGGAGGGAACAGGTAATACTAATCTGAAGACAGATTTTCACCTGGCTCCCCATTGCCATCACCTTCTTGGCTGTACTCCTGTTTAAAGGTCTTTATAAAGGTCATATCCTTTATAGGGATAGGGATAATAAATGGTAGAAGCAGAGGGTTTTTGTCTGTGTCTCTGATTGCAGCAGTGGTCAAGAATTCTTACCTAGAGCTTCAGCTTGAGGAGGAATTAAGGGCTCAATTCTTTTCCCCTCTTCTCATCTTCTCTGTAAGTTTATTATGCTTTTATGATCACCGTGAATGGATTTTTTTTTTCTCCACATGGTTCTTTTTTAAACCAATCTGATTCTAAAATAATTATAGTTTTTTTATTTTAAATTTGTCACAAATTTATTATTATTTATTCATTTTAATTAATTATTTAATTATAACTCCGTCATCATCTTTTCTCCTCCATCCTTTCTCTTCCAACCAAATCTCAGCAAATGAAACCAACCAAAATGAACCCAAATCTTAGTAAATCCATATCATTTAAGATTACTTATCTTTGATGGTCATTTGTAAAATGTCATACGTCTCCTTTTTATTTATTAAGATTAATTAGATATTTACAAGTGAAACATATTTCCTATCTGTCGATTTGGCAGAATTTTAGCTGACCAAAAATGAAGTTGATCCCAACCTCGAAACTAACTCCAAACTGAAAGACATAATTAACTATTAAAAAATCAACCAAAATTTTGAATAAATAAATTAGATTTACTAAAAAAAACACAGATTTAGCACTTATATAATTATTGAATTGACTAAAAAGTTTATCAAATTCAATCCTCACGTAGAAATCAAATCAACTAAATCAAAGAAGACATCAATCAAAGTTTATAAAATTTTTGAGATCTATTCTAAAACACTACTTGTACAAAAAATTTTGAATCGAGTGAAAAGTGAAGTGATAAAATTAGATTGAGTGAGCATATATATCAAAAAGTAATTTCAACAAGTAATTAAGCGATTGAAAGGAAGATGTTGCTGAATAAGAAATCAATGAAGTTCCATATATATATATATATATATATATATCTCTAAACAAGATTCAAGCCCCATATAAGAATCAATAAATACAAGTATGGCATTAATTTTGTAGTTGGCATAAAAGACGAAGAAGTTCGTGGGGGAGAAAAATTGGTGGCAAATGACAATGGAACGTAGGAAACAACAGGAAACGACGACGGTGAAGGAAGAAAGTTTAAACTGAAAAAGGAAATTTTCTTTAAAAAAATGAAAAGGGGATTTTTTTTTTAAAAAAAAAAGAAAAATTGAAGAAAAACTTTAAAAATGTCGACAAGGACATGCATGATATTTTCCAAAATGACTATTAAAGACAAGTAATCTTTCAATGCACTTCTTAAAAGAACTTTAGTAGGAGCATTTCTACTAAATTAAGACAAAATTTGGATTCTCCACTAAATTAAGAGTGATAGATATGTTATAAAAGAATTTTTTATTAGTTTTTAGGTCTTTCTAGCCTATCTATCTTACGTTGTATTTATTATCTTTTTTTATTATTAATTTGTATAAAATTATAAAAATAAATTTTATTTTCAATGTCAATATTACATAAGATAATTTAGTTAAATAGTTAATAGAATTTAAATTAACTTTTATTTTTATAAATTAATAATAAAAAATATTACACTCTTAATTTATGTGCCTTGTTTACAAAATTCCTTTGTTTTTTAGTATCATGACTTGCTGCAATATATGTAGGTTGAAATATGATCACCTCAATGTATTAAAATATCTAGTCTAGATCAGTGTTGTACAATGCAATTATACATTTAGGCGGCGTTTGGATGGGGAGGAAAATTTCCTCACTTCTCCCTTTTCTTGGATTGTTTAGGGTTGTTTATGTATTTTCACATTTTAAACGATAATAAAAAAAGGTAAAAGCAAAATTTTTAATTTTTTTTACCTCACATAAGTCCAATTAGTAAACTTTTTTTTTTCACACTTTTGAAGGAAAAAATTTTTTTTTCTCTGACTTCCTTTACGTGGAACGGCGTAACAATTTTTTTAGAAACTCTCTTTATATTAATTTTTTATCAAACACAAAAAACTTACCATCTCAACAAAATTTTAACAAAATTTTTTCATAGAACTTATATTTGAATTTTTCATATTGTACTCTCTACCTTTCGTATGGTACTTTCTAAGTAAAATTGACTTCTAACCTAATAGGCCCTTAATAGTTGATAGTTGCCGCGCTCTTGAATTCTTAATTAAAGCTGCAGCTTGAAGAGGAAGGATTTATGATCATCTCTCATCTCTTCATTCATCATCTGTGAGTTTGATATGGCTAATTTACCATATGCTTTTATTTGTAAAAGACTAAATTACTAGACCTTTGAACAATTAGCAACGGCTGCGATATCCTTCGCCTGCAGTGGAGTTTGAATCTAAACTGTTGTTTTATTTCATTTTTGATAGAGTACAATGGCGGCAGGAAACATTACCTCGAATGTGATAGTTCCTCAAGTTCTTGCAGAAAGCAATTACGAAGAATGGAGCATTTGTATGAAAAACTATTTAATTGCTCATGATCTTTGGGATGTTGTTGAAGACTCAAGCAATGTGAATCTGGCAGACAAGGCTACAGCCGGTTTGAATAAAAAGAACGCTGAAGTTCTACATGCCTTTCAAATCTCATGTGCAACTGGAACTTTTGCCCATATAAAGGGTGTCAACTCAGCCAAAGATGCTTGGGGCAAATTAGCCGAAAGATATAAATTGAAGCAAAAATGGCAACTGCTAAGGAAGGGACAGCAATCAAGTGAAGCAGAGTTATCAGAAATAATACAATGGTTTCAAGGAACTACTCCAGGTTATCCGTCTGATCTTTTCAAAATTTTAACATTTTATGCCTAATTAAAGAATTTTAACATTTTATGCTTAATTAAAGGTATCCTTTCTTTCATTAGATAGCTACTTACTACGTGATGGTTAATTTTTACGTGAAGGTGGAATGTTAACTGAATATCTCTTTATTTATTTCGCTTTCTTTTTTCTTTTTTTTTTTGTGATCAGAAAGTTGAGTAATTCATTAATTTACTTTACATTTTAATTCTTTTTATTCTTCATGTATTTATATATGGTTTAATTTTTTTATATCAGCTAAAATAAAAAACTTATATTAATTAACAGGAAGTATACAACGGGACAAAGTTCCCTACATGATTTTATATATAGTTTAATGAAAATTATGAAATTATATTATTTGATTTGAAGCTGCAATATTATTTGATTTCTTGTCCTATTTCATTTCTGCCAGAAGCACCGGATTGCATTGACAGGCTTACGTATATGAACATGTACAAGTCTATTTTGTTTCAAATGGATTGCAGAACTATAATTCAATTTATAAAGGATCATCCAACTGCAAAAGTTGCAAGATTTGTGCGCAAAGGTTTCCCCATTCTTAATATGGTAATTTCAACTAATAATTTAACAAGGGTTAAACAATTGATAAAGACAATGTCAAAAAAAGAACTGGAAACAACAACAGATCATGAGGGTAATACAGGTCTTGCAATTGCTGCAGTTCTGGCCTCCACAGAGATTGCAGAGTACTTAATCACAAAAAACCAGAATTTGGTCACCATCCCAGATAAGAATAGGATGATTCCAGTTGTGAAGGCAAGTTACCACAGATATAACGAAATGACACAGCTTTTATACTCGAAGACTCCAACTGGATTCCTAGCTCCAGAGAATGGTGACCATGGTTCCTTGCTACTTCATTTTTGTATACTTAACAAAATGCTTGGTAAGAGTTAATTATAAACTTTAAAACCTTTTTCTTCCACCCTATCAGTTTTTACTCTTATAGATTGTTGTTTAAGTAACTTAATTTTTTTCATTTTCTTCTGACATGGATGCACCAGATATTGTTTGGGACCTACTGCACCGTTATCCACGTTTGGCATTCACTAAATTTGAAGTCAATAATCAGGAGTCGACTCCAATTATAACATTGTCTGCTCAACCTTCTTTATTCTATAGTGGAAGTGAGCTTTCACTTTTACAACAATGGATATATTATCGTCAGTATCTCTGCTCATCCTTTTCTCATTTTTCATTCATTTCTGTTCCAACTATACGTTATATGTTACTTGCAAAGTATATATAAAACCATAAACATATCAGAATTAAGGATATAATTTATGTCTGTGTGGCTAGTTAGCTCCTTTTTCTTCTCTTTCTTTTTCCTTTTCTTTTTTTTTTTCTTTCCTCTTCACCTTTTTTAAATATACTTCTCTTACATGTTTAAAAATTTTAAATATAAAAATTCACCTGATATATTCACCATAATTTATTATTTCTAATATTACAATTATATATGTCTAAAATCTTCCAATGAATTAAGTAACTCAGTATTAATTTTGTTTTAGTGAAAGTAAGAGGTCTTATATTCAAGTTAGATGACATGCGGGGCGGGTCGGGGGAGTTAAATGGTTTAAGAGATAGAAAAGGGTTATTTTTTATTACATAACTCAAGATTAAAATAAGAAAAATGATTTGTATATCCTTGGTTTAATAACACATTTTTTTATATACTTTCGGTTTAATAATTAAAAATATAATATAAATGCAGTTGATTCAGTTGGTTTTTGTATTTTGTATACGTGATTGTGTCTTTCAACTTATCTGCCTTTAATTTCAAATTAAGAAATAGTGATTTTTTAATAAGTGTTGTGTAATGTGTTGAACTAAAGTGTATATTAATCATTGTCCTTACAAAAATTATTTTAAGTTAATTTTCGTGAGTAACAATGAAATAACCATATTTGGTAATGTAATTAACCTTATAAATTGCCCTATGGCTCAATTGATTAGGGACTTGAGATTATAAATCGAAAATCTCAATTAAATAGAGAGGGATTTG